CCTGAAGGTGGATTTTCACTGCGTGATGTCATGAAGGGCATAAATGCAATGACAAAGAAGATAGGAAAGATGGCGCTGGCACATAAAAAATGGAGAAAGAAAGGGAATGAAAGGTTTAAGGGTGTGGAAGACAGGCTTGCTCGTCTGGAGCTTGCAAGAGGTGGTCAGGTAGCTGAGGCAGCAGGGGATGAGGGTCACGTGTCAGATGAGGACGACTCGGAGACGGACACAGACCGGGATGACGAGTAGATTTAGGGTGTACATCATGTTATTATGTTTTGTTCATGTATTTCCTTTAAGTCGTTGATGTAATGTAACTTTTTTTAATGAATGCAGAATTGTTATGTTTTTTGGATCTATGTTATGTTGTGTAATGAATTTAATTCCATTTCAATATTGTATAACTTATGAATGGAACCTTTTTAGCAATTTGATCATCACGGCACAAAACAATATTGAACAGGTCACATTCGTCCATAACACATCACAGCAAATCAGTACATGTGTTTAAAAAGGCTACATCTTGTATTGTTAACCGTAAACAAACGTTATGACAACATACGACTTGGTCTTAGGAATTTAATGTCCACATGGGTTTTTTGACTCGGAAATTATGCTCCCTAAGTCACACTCCCTTAGTGGATCAGTGTAGAGTGGAAACCTAGGGCAAAAAACATGTGTAATTCGGATTTGGGGTCCTAAACCAACAATTTAGTCGATTAACCTGTACTGGTTTAGTCGACTAGGTTAGTCCACTAGGTTAGTCGACTAAACCAGTACAGGTTAATCGACTAAATTGTTGGTTTAGGACCCCAAATCCGAATTACACATGTTTTTTGCCCTAGGTTTCCACTCTACACTGATCCACTAAGGGAGTGTGACTTAGGGAGCATAATTTCCGAGTCAAAAAACTAATATGAGTCAAATACAAATATCATGACATCAAATACAAACATAGCACCGTCATTACATTCAAATACAAACATCATGAGATCAAATACAAACATAGCACCGTCATTACATTCAAATACAAACATCATGACATCAAATACAAGCATATAAAACCATAAATGCCTATAATGTTAAACCATCAAAACATTAAGCCCCTCCCCTGCTTCCTCCGCAATTCATCTTGTATTGGGAATCCTCATAGGACATGTACGTTTGTTGTGACCAATTTGCTTACACAGGCTACATCTACTCTGACTGCTTGTCGGTTGAGACTCAACCCAATCCATCTCATTCTGTGTCCTTGACGATTTGGGTCTTCCTTGTGCACGTACCAAAGATGCATTTGGGATAATGGTTGGGCCATCAATTTGTGGAATCAACAACTCATTGCCCATTGGATACCAATGAGCAGCATATACCTTATCAATTTGTGCAATTGAGAACACAGGATCAACATAATCATAGTGGTTCAACTTTTCTACCTTGCACACCGCTAAGACGTGACTGCAAGGAAATCTTCTAGATGTGAACCGTCCACATTGACATTTGCGATTGAGCAAGTCTACCCTCATTATGTCACCTGCATCATGAGTTGATTGATTGTAGGCATCCTCAACTTCAAATAGCTGCAGGTCCCTATCAAAAACCCGCACACGGAGGCTCACTGTTAATTGATCATTTTTTTGGATGATATCCTCAACTTTTTTTGCAATTCTCCAACCCTTTGCCTTTGCCTTTTGGATCTTTTCACGTCTCTTGACGAAATACTCAACAAGTCTACTTTGAGTCATCTTCACCAATGCTGTTATAGGCAAATTACGTGCACCCCTCAGGACCTTATTCACACACTCAGATAAGTTAGTCGTCATGTGACCAAACCTCCGACCGTCCTCATCGTAAGACCTGCACCATTTTTCTTTGGGAATCTGATCTATCCATGAAGCTACTTGAGGGTTACTGTCGATAAAATCCTGGAATCTGATATCAAAATGAATCTTTGAACTCAAGTACCCTGAAATACAAAATGATGCGTTAGATACAAAAGGATGAAATATATACAATTTGTACATATTAAAAAGAAGATTGCACCTAGCTTCATCAGGGTTTTCTTTAATTCCACATCTCTGAACTTAGTGTTAAAGTTGCTTCCGATGTGGCGTAGACAAAACACATGATACGCAAATGGTGGCTGCCAACCGGCATGATCTCTTACAGCCCTGATGATGCTGGGATGACGATCGGATATTAGACAAATGCCATGCTTATGCGTGACGTGAAAACGCATGAGGCTAAGAAACCACGACCAATCATCCAATCTCTCACCAGGAGGAACAATAGCAAATGCAATAGGGAGAATGTAACCATCTCTATCTTGTGAAGTTGCAATCAAAAGAGTTCCTTTGTATTTACCGTGCAAATGCGTGCCATCAATTTGGATTATGGGTTTACAATATTTGAAGGCCTCAATGCACTGGTGAAAGGTCCAAAATACTCGGTGAAAGACAGCCTTATCCGTATACACTCGACGTTCATCAACACATTGGTCCGTATCAATCTTGAACACAGAACCCACATTAACCTGCGTCATGTATGTCAGCCAACCAGGCAAGAATGCATACGATTTATCCCAGTCGCCAAATAACTTGACAATGGCTTTCATTTTAGCCTTCCAAGCTTTCCTGTAAGATATGTTGTATCCATACAATCGTTGTACCCTCTCTTGAATAAGAACTGGCTTTAATGATGGATCTTCTTTTAACATACCTATATAAAAAAAAACACCGGCCAACAGTCAGAATACAAACTGATTAACGTTAACATACCTTAGGAAGTTAGATATATCGAATAATACATACTGATAATGGTTGCACATATCACATCAGAATCCAACTGTCTATGATCCCGGGTAAGACCTTGGTTTAGGCAGGTGTGTTCTTTAACCCATTTACTAACCACCCAAGTATTTCCATTCTTCGGCAACAATGCCCTCACATACCAGGGACATCCATCATTATGGTGTCGACACTTCATCACAAATCTATGGTCATCACTTTTTGCCACAACGGCAGTACGGTGAGCCTTCATACAATATAATTTGACTGCATGTTGCATTTCAGATTTGCTACGAAACTCCTGATACAAATATAAAGGATCCCCTAATTGCCAGCCACTGTGATCATCATCGTCACCATACAATATCTCTGTCTCATCATTAGGGTGGGCCCAATTAATGAAGGTATAATGTGAGCTTTCATTCCAAAATGGCTCGACCTCAGAACCTACGGATGCATTATAATGCCACCGTCAATACCATTCATAACAAAAAAAATAATTGCTAAATTAAATCTTTAAAAAACAAATCTTACCACTGCTAACAGGGTCAACACGAAGTGGTCTCGTAACCTGCGAACCCGGGGATGGTGAGCTTGTGTCAGCGTCGAAATCACCCTCTACGTCAGTATCTGACGTGTCACCTAGTGGAATAACACTCTCAGGTTCACCGTCCTCATCGCTGTCCATATCGGCATCCTGTTCATCCTCATCTATTTCCCGCAGTGTTATCTGACTTATGACATGTGCAGGTGCAGATAAATCGACTACTCTTTCTTCATGACCAAAATACGGTTCACTTCTTGTATGCATGGGTGCAGATGAAGATTGACCACAATCTAATTCAACATATATCTCAATAAAATTTTGAAATTTTCGGTCAACAATTGCATCTATGACACATTCGACATCTTCATCATCACATATATCGTTACCAATGTAGTAAATAGCATCCTTACCAACTGTTGTCTCTACCCTGGCAATCATCCGTTGAACGCATTGGCTGCCTTGCAAACCCAATTTTTGCTGAATTCTTTTCTTTAACTCATTGTATGTAGTGCCCCGTTTGATTTTCAACATTTTCGTTTTTCCTTCAAATTGAACACCATTGGGGCCTTCATAATGCTTTCCATCACAGTAGATCATTGTCACATACATGTTTGGACTTGTGCTCATCTTCCTCACGAAATTGGGACTTGGGTTCTGAAATTGGGGGTTTGGGTTCGGATTTTGGGGTTTGGAATTGGGCAATGACAATGATTTCACAATATTAGGTCTGTAGAGATGGTGGGATGAAATACAATCGGATTGAGAGGATTACACATGAACAAAGGGAGCTATTTAGGTTTACACAACAACAACAATCGAAATGAGACCGAAAACATGGAAAATATAGGGTTTCAGTCGACATTTAGTCGACTAAATATCGATACTTAGTCGACTAAATATCCCAAAAATGTAGTCGATTAAGATGATTTTTTAATCGACTAAATTTGCGGTAGTCCACTTTCTGAAGATTGACCATTTGCTCGACTAAAACAGCAAGGTAGTCGACTAAAAGGGGGCAGGTTGGTGGATAGTTCTTGATCAGGGGCAAATTGGTTATTAATTAATTAATGAGGGGCAAAAGGGTCAAAAAGCCATGAACTTAATGTAAACTAATTTTAAAAGACTACACTGATATCACTTACATATTTGGAACTAAAATAAGTGTTTAATCTCGAGGAAATAGTTATTTTTTTTCTTGATATATAAAGAAGCTATACGTGATCAGATATTCTTATGTTAAAATTTTGGGAAATAACTTTCTTATGTTGTAGGAAAATAGTTATCTCATGTTGTAGAAATAAAACTATAAGTGAGACCCACGGATAAGATGAGAGAGAAAAAAAAAAGAGGTGGGACTCACCCCTCTTTTGTGTGTGTAGGAAAGTTGTTTCTCTCGTGCAAAATGAAATATGTATAACCCTAAAATTTTATATGGGAATCAATTGTTAAAATTTTATATAATCTTATGAAATAAAAACTTTATGCCTAAGTCTTTGTATATACAATTAATAAATAAGACCTTATCAGAATTTGTTAAGTATGCATGTACAAAGAAAAAAGATAAATAAAAATTTTCACTATTACAAAATCATGTGAAATGTAAAATTTCAATAATATTTAGTTTACCCAAACTATTGAAGAACTCATCCAACCTAGTTGATTCAGCAGGCTCATACCTTTGATGACATGGTTGTATCAATACTAGATGAAAATGGATTCAGGAATACACTTGGCCTACCATATTCACTTTCTATATCACTAACAACATCAACATCTCCAAGCTTTTGTGGTGCTGGAAGAACCTGTGATTCATTGGGAACAACTTCATCTTCAAATACCACCCATACCTTGCTTATTTTGGTCTCTAGTGTCCATGAAAAAAGAGTTGGAGTTGGTGACAAATTTATATCAATTTTCTCTTCTTTCTTTTTGCTTTCTTTTGCTGCAACTTCAAACTCTATCTCTGTTGATCTTTTAAAGTTGCTTGATAGAGCGACATGTGAAGATGCAATTTGATTTTGTTGGCAACCAAATTGATCCAATGCCACTATATGACTCATACTGATTATTTTAACAAAAGGGTACTCCAAATTCTTGTTTTCAACCACTTGTTTGCAACTTTCATACAGATCATGAAGCTTTTGGCTTTGCAGAGAAGCTTTCTTGAGAATTTCACATGCTAGGCCTTTGGCTGATGAATTTAGATCAAAAAACATGTTGATAAGAGCTGCAATGCCTTCAGAAAATGTCATATAAACTTGGAAACTTTCTCTCAAAATGTTACTCATAGCAACTTGAGCCAAGCTATGATCTGAGAGCAAAACATCATGTGGGGAAAATTCTAACACCTTATCAATAAGCACTTGGTATTTAGGCAATGTACGAAATACCATATCAATGGAATTCTCATCATAGCTTCGAAATCCTAACCCTTTGGACATTAATGGTTCAAGTTTCCCAGCTTGGTTGATGAGCCAACTCATCCTTTCTTCAAGATAAGATGCATATTTGTGTAAAAAACCAATTGAAGGGTCAGAATTCTTAGTGAAACACCTTGTTGTACTAATTTGTAGATGACCAGAGACATGTGCTTTGCATAACTCTTGTTCAAAGGATCTGTTTCCCCCTCTAAGAAGGCGATGAATCAAGACAAGGACCTTAAGGGCCACAAGATGATCCTTAGTTTTGCATAAACGGCGAGAAATCCTTTCAGCAAGAAAAGGAATGGACCCTTGAGAGTGTGAAACCAAGAAGAGGATTTCATGCATGTATTTGTCATCAATGGTTCCATTGTCATGGCCTGTGGCACGAAGAACTGCAATCTCTATGCTTGAAAAGCCATCATGTTGATGATGGTACATCATGGCCTTGCCAATAGAAGCATGATCTTTCATTGAACCAAGAGCTAGACGAAGCTTGCCTTGTATATCCACACCCATTATTGTTCTTATTCTTTTAGAAGAAAGGAAAGAAGAACTTCAATAATGCTAGAAGAATAATGGAACAATTTGCTATGTAGAGGTAAGCAATTGTAGGAGTATTACACATATAAAGGTGGGGAGAAAAGTGAGAAAAAGAGTGGTCTTAAAAAAAATTAGAAGCAGTACAAATTAAAAGAATCAAATCTTTCATATTTTAAGCAGAGAATTGTAATGTGGACAAGAACATTCATCATATAAAAATAGTTCTTAAGATTGATCTATGTGATAGCTTAGCAGTCTACAAACCCAACAACACTACAATATTCTACATTAAAAGGCAATAATCCACGTGCAAAAGTCAACGAGTATAATTAAAAAGCCTCCTTTTCTTTGGTCCTTTTGAAGGGTATTTTATCTTCCCCTAGCTGTACTTTTTTTTTTCTATAACCAAAATTTTTTAGTCTAAAAAAACTCATGTAGCAATTATTTATAGATAAGCATTGTTCTTGGGTGTATTAGCAGAGTCCAAATGTCTAACCATTGATGGATTAACTTTTTAAAAATTCTGATATGAAGTATTAGTACCTTTATAAGAGATTAGTATCAGTGTTTAATGGAGTGTTCTTCATGGGGTAAAGGATCAGCTTCTGAGTGTGTAATTTGGGCATATGATATTTGATCCATTGCCTATGCATATGAGAGGTTTTATATAGTTGTTGTTGATGCAAAACCATGATGAATCCCACTAATGAGGGCCATGTTGAGACTGGGGTACCATGCCATGAATTAGTGTTAGAATTATCATTTTAGAGAATGAGGTGGAATGCATTTAATACTTGAATAATGCTTGGGTTATTGTTTTGTCTTATATTAATCAATGAAGCACAGGGATGAGTGGGACCCAAAAACTGGTTCATATAGTTAATTAGCCACAACATTAAAAAGCTTGGATTAGAATCACTAAATACGTGGATGAATTGATAAGGGTTTGTTTTAACTTAATCAATGATTTTCAGTTTAAATCAAATGTAGTTGTATTAAAATTTAGTATAAAAAAATTTTTCGCTTACGTGATCCTATCCGACTCAAATCGAACTAATCAAGTAATCATCAATGAACTGATGGATAATATTACAAAAAGCTTGGGTTAGAGTTAACCACAGGTTAGTTATAAAGGTTTCAATTTATTCAACAAGGAATTGATTGCTATCAATATCATAACAAACATGGAATAATAAAGTTTGCCTTAGAAGGCTTTCAAGGCTAGGATGGGAGTGTATGAATGCATAGGCTTTAATGTCATTTTAAAAGAGTCAACGAGGGGAAAAAAAAAAAGGAAAAGGATGGTGGAAGGTGAGGAAGAATCTTATTCTTTAAGAATATGATTCTTGTGCATCTAACTCTCTTGCTATTCGCAACAAACAAAACAATTTGACTTAAAATCTTTTATCTCATCCACAGGTTCTCCATTTTGCTTTTGGTTGGGAAGTTGAAGCCCCACCCACTGGCAAAGAGATCCAAAGGAGAAAAGTGTTGTTGCAATATTCTATTCTACCAATAATAATCCAAAGTGTTTCTGACTGAAAGTACTGTAAAATCAGATACAAGATAAATATTAAATAACATACATCAAAGTCAAAACAGAGAGATTGATGACTTTTATTGTTCACTGTTGCTGAAGGCTGATAAGAGAGGCTGACTCATGGTCCTGGAACTGGAGAGGACCAGTGCTATATGCTAATAAAATAGTACCAAATATGGCAAAATAGTTGACACTAGACATAAAAGGCAACATACATTAAATTAGATGGACCAAATAATGGTTTTAAAACTTGGCCTGGGTGAAACTGGTAGGTTAATCTCTAATTCTTCGACTGTTGCTCTGATGATTTGACAGAAAAAATAGTAATACAGAAAACCGCTTTTTGACCAAGGAAATATTTTATTAATGTGATTTCAAATTCAAATATTTTGGCAAAATAATGGATGTGGGAGTCGTGCATGAAATGATGTGTGATTGGTATCAAAAAGAATACACACTTGTCACATGTCACGTATCACGTATTGTAAGTCATGTATTATCCTCATGTGCAATTTGAACATGCATACCTAACATGTATCTCACAGCGCTTGACATATTGCAAGTGCACACTTGCTTTTGCAGTAGTCACGCATCACTTTCACGCACGACTTGAATGAACATATCCTCATTAAAGTTTCACTGCATTATTTTGGCAAAGTATTTGAATTTGGAATACTTGAAAAAGGGTTATCAAATATTATTAAATTGCGTAAATAATCTGTACAAAGAGGTCTTTATTTATAGAGAATGAAAAACCTAATACTTGAGCTAATGGGCATGGTCCAATACAACAAATAATAATAATTAAATAACCAATATTTACAACACTCCCCTCAAACTGAGGAATAGATATTTATCATTCTCAGCTTGCTAGTAAGTTCTTGAAATCTGTCTGGAGGAAGTCCCTTTGTTAATAGATCAGTCAATTGACGCCCAGTGGGAATGTATGGAGTGGTAATCAACCTGTTATCAAGTTTCTCTTTGATGAAATGACGGTCGACCTCAATATGTTTAGTCCGATCATGTTGAACCGGATTATGAGCTATACAAATAGCAGACTTATTGTCACATAGCAGCTTCATAGGTCCCTTACATTTTATTTTGAGATCATCAAGAACAATTTTCAGCCACAGTAACTCACAAATGCCTTGAGCCATAGCTCGAAATTCAGCTTCTGCACTTGATCTGGCAACCACATCTTGTTTCTTACTTCTCCATGTCACTAAGTTACCACAGAGAAACATGAAATAACCAGTGGTAGATCGACGGTCAGTCACGGATCCAGCATAATCAGCATCAGTGTAGACTTCTAAAGAGAGATTGCCATCACGTCGGAATAACAATCCTTTACCAGGAGTAACTTTAAGATACTGAAGAATTCTCTCTACTACCTGCATGTGTTTCTCCTTTGGATCGTGCATAAACTGACTGACAACACTAACAGCATAAGCTAGGTCTGGTCTAGTATGAGCCAGATATATCAATTTCCCAACTAGCCGTTGATATTGTCCTTTATCAACTGGAGTACTCTCCTCTTCATAGCCTATATTGTGATTCTGCTCAATAGGAGTATTAGAGGGTTTACACCCGAGCTTTCCTGCTTCTTTGAGAAGATCAAGAACATATTTTCTCTGGCTGATAAAAATTCATTTCCTTGAATGAGCTACTTCTATCTCTAGGAAATATCTCAGTTTCCCAAGGTCTTTGACTTCAAACTCAGAGGCAAGCCGTGTTTGCAGAATCTGTTTCTCCACAAAATCATCACCTGTGATAATAATATCATCAACATATACAAGGAGCACAGTAAGCTTCCCATTATGGGAATGCTTGAAGAAAAATGTGTGATCTTCTTGACTCTGTCTGTATCCTAAGGTCATCGTAACCTTAGTAAACCTTCCAAACCAGGCACGAGGTGACTGCTTCAATCCATACAAGGCATTTTTTAATCTACAAACTTTATTTTCTCCTTTAACAGAATCAAAACCAGGCGGGATTTCCATGTAGACTTCTTCTTCTAACTCACCATTGAGGAAAGCATTTTTCACATCAAATTGATTTATATCCCAATCATAATGGGTAGCAAGGGACAACAAGACTCTCACCGTATTCATCTTTGCAACTAGAGCAAATGTTTCTTCATAATCAATGTCATAGGTTTGAGTGTAACCTTTGGCAACTAATCGAGATTTGTATCTCTCAAGAGTTCCATCAGAATTGTATTTCAGGGCATAAACTCATCTGCACCCTACTGCTTTCTTTCCATTAGGTCTATCAATAACCTCCCATGTTTTATTTTTCTCTAACACATCCATCTCCTCTTGCATGGCTTGAGCCCATTTCCCATCTTTCAAGGCTTCATGTACTAATTTTGGGAATGCAATAGAGTCTAGTGCTGAAACAAAGCTTTTGTGCTGCACAGAAAGATTAGCAGAGGAAACAAAATGGGAGATAAGGTATTGAGTACAAGAGGGACAGGAGGAACAAGATTTCTTATAACAAGATCTTTTTCCTTTTCTAAGAGCAATGGGTAAATCATCAGAATCCGTAGTAATGGGTAAGTCATCAGAAGTATTAACATCAAGATCAGAAAAATGAGATTCAGGACTTACCAGTGGTTCAGACGATTGAGGTTGTTGCTGAGGCAATGTGGGTTGTTTCCTTCTTTGATATACCAACTCAGGTGTCATAATCTTCTGTATCTCTGGTGAACTTGATGTATCAGTCACAGGAGGATCAGTTACAGGAGGATCAGACACAGAAGGAACGGGAACAATAGGGACAAGAGGAGGATACACTGACACAGGTAAAGGAGTAGACACTGAAGACTCAAAGAAATGAGGTGATGAGCTTTCTGGTGAAGGATTCTCCCCCTGAAGATGAGAACCTTAGAAAAAAGACTTAGATTCCTGAAATGTAACATCCATAGAAACAAAAAAATTTCTACTACCAGGGTGATAGCACTTGTAGCCTTTCTTATCGAGAACATAACCAAGAAAAACACATTTAATAGCCCTAGGGTCCAACTTACTGCGATGATGTTTATGAACATGAACAAAAGCAACACACCCAAACACTCGTGGAGGAAGACTCATAGTTGGAATAGAAGGGAAAAAAGAAGTTATAGAATGAATATGACTTACATGGTCAAGTACCCGAGTGGGCAAACGGTTGATCAAGAATGTTGCAGTAAGAATAGCATCTCCCCAATAGTATTTGGATACATGTGTCTGAAACATTAATGCACGAGTCACTTCAAGAAGGTGACGATTTTTTCTTTCAGCAACCCCATTCTGTTGAGGGGTGTCAACATAAGTAAGTTCATGAATCATACCATTATTTCGTATAAATTGAGAAAAATTGTTATTAACATATTAAGTACCATTATCTATTCTTAGTCTCTTGATTTTTTTACCAAATTGGGTCTCAACCATTTTAT